CTGAAATATAATTATTTTGTAGTAGATATGTATATGCGTATATGTACATATATACTGATGAATACCACTTGCACTCTTTCTGATTTATGTACAAATATATTTACATATATGCCTTACGCTTATTTTACATTTTATATAGATACGTGAACGAGTATATAAAATAGTTAATAAATATATAAGTATACATATATACGTACATAGTAGTTTTTCATTCTTATGCTGGATTTCCACTAGGCATTAAATGACAAAAATTTTAATGGCACATTTGTGCATTAAAAAATATTCGTTCCATTACGTTAAAAAAATAGTTATTAAATTCATTTCCCCATGGCACTTTTTAAATGCCTCCAATTTATTGTAATTTCGATGCCTTGTAGAAATTCGGAATTAGTGAGAAATTTAGAACTTAGTTAGTATATTAAATTAATACATTTAAAAATATATTTTTAGTTAACCCACTAACGCCTGGGCTGGGACTATTTGTATATTCGGATATTTGGTTAATTTCCGTTAATTTTGCTATTCGGATTTCCAGCACATTTCGGTTTTCGGATGTTAGAATTTTTTTATCAGTTAATCGAATATTCGGAGTTTTTACTGATGGCTCCAAAACTGGCGCAGAGTCCGGATCTGGAGTCGATATCGAAAGTAACAACCACCGGAACAAGCCTCAGTACTTAAAGCCGGGGTATTTGCAATCTTCAAGGTCATGGACTACGTTGTAGGAGTTTATTTGTCTGTAGTGACAGCCAAACTGCCAGTCCTCTAACCACTTCCAAACTAGTTCGGCAATGCGTTTCTCGATTTAATTATATTGGAAAACAAAGCGTACTCCTTTTGCTGAGGATTCCAGGTCACTCAGGAGTACCTGCTAATGGCGCATTTCACCACTTGATCAGATAGGGCTCGGACCACGTATTCCCCGGTCTACAACCAGTTGTTGCACTAGCACCTTCGGCATCGAAGTCACCATCAGAATCTGGATCAAAATTTCGCTCAGCAATGATTGGGAGGTTACGACACCTGGTGGCCAAAATGTTTTTCCGCCAATGTCTATGTACATATTTGCTCTCAATGAGCAGATGAGACTGCAGGCAACTTGTGGGACTGTTGACTGCTAACTTTTTGTGGCATAAACACGTTCTGCCTTGAAGCGGATGAGACGGTGAAACACATTTTGTGCCGAGGGCCTAGTAAGCCTACAGCTTTATTTGCTTTAGTGACGATATGGTAGAGCGCTATGTGGGCTGTATCTTTTGACAGATGTATATATAAAATAGTCTTTCTAGTGTTTTCAGAAAAAATTACCTAAAGCTAATACTTAGATCGATTGTCGTTGGGACTTCAGACTTTTGATCAAGCTTACACTTTTTTGACCGTTAGTGGGCTATCTATATAAGTCGGTATTTATATCTTAATTATTTATTAGCTCTCTTAAATAAGTAAATAAATACATATGTAATTAAAAATAAATAAATACTTACAAGTACCTTATTATCAGCCTAAGCTTATTTATACTTAAAACCTAACCCTCGTAGACAAAAAGCACCTTTTATTTTAGAAATATCCATACTATTATCTCTGAATACCTCACATACTTAGTACTGGCAACTTACTCGCATATTTCGAAATTTCCGCAAAAATGCATTGCAAATCTTCGCCAATCCGCATTATAGGGATTATGTGAATCGAAGGTGCATTCTTTGCGCTTCTCTCTAACGCAATCATTAAAATTTGTATCGAAATATGCCTTGTCTTCCATTGGATGTCCATTTTGAACATAATAGGCAAAAACGGCCGGATGGCGTATGTAATAGTAAGCGCTTACAACCTTTTCGATAGGATGACGCACCAGATTTATATAGATCGGTTTTGGTTGACCGAATTCGGTGAAATTGATCCAATTCATATGTTCTACATATGAAAGTGCTACATTCTCTCCAATTAATTCTTCAACAGTTTGTCGTTGATTCTCAACATCTACTAAATTTGGATGAAACTGTGCGGCCGCGGAATTACGATATGGTACAAAATTATTTTCCTTCGATAGCGTATTCAAAAGTACAGACAATGACTGTGAGCCTACTTTCTCGAGGCGATTAAAGAAAAGAATATCGATCTCGGCTTTTTTGGTATTATTCAATAGATCTGGATACAATGTATAGAGCTTCAAAGTTGAGGAAGAAAGTTTGAAGAAGTATGTAAAAATTTTTTATGGCATGAGATTTTTTTTTTATTATTTTATGATGTAAGGGTTAATAGGAAAAGAAAATTCGGATTCATACCGAGTATAAATAGCGAAGAGTTTTAGGAACAAAACAGACTTTTATCATTCTGAGCAAAAAATACTGCTGTTGGTTGGTAAATGTACTTTAGACCCCAAAAATTTCTTAATTCCTAAAACGCGAAAAATTCCGACAGTTCATAAAAAAATTGCCAAAAAATTCTTAAAAATTTTCAGAAGTTACTTAAGATCTCTAAAAACTTGATAAAAAAATTCGAAGACTCTCGGAAATTTTCAAGAAAAAAATATATATAAAAATATCCGAATAATTACAAATAAAATTTCTTAAGCTATCGAAAAATTTCGACAAGTGCGGAAAATCACAAAAAAAGTAAATAATTAATAATCGGTACTCTTTGCTCAAAAGAAAAAGTCCAGAACAGGCTTGAAACATCTCGAAAGGCGCGAAAAGTTTCTGATAAACTCTTAAAAAATCCCGAGAAGTCCGGAAAGTCCAGAAGACTTCGAAAAGTATCGAAAATATTTGAAATTAAATTTCTAAAAGTTTCGAAAAAGCAGAAATGTTTATCGAAGCATAAAAAATAGAAGATAACAAACAGTTGGAGTGCTTGCTCAAAATAAAAGTTATCGAAGAAAATCGTAAAAAAATAAATAAAAAATAATCGGTACTCTTTCCCCAAAAAAAAAGTCCAGAACAATCTTGAAATATCTCGAAAGGCCCGAAAGAATTCTGATAAATTCTTAAAAAATCCCGAGAAGCCCGGAAAACTTCGAAAAGTATCGAAAATATTTGAAATTAAGTTTCGAAAAAGGAGAGATGTTTATCGAAGCATAAAAAATAAAAGATAACAAACAGTTGGAGTGCTTGCTCAAAATAAAAGTTACCAAAGAAATCCCGGTAAGTTCTGAAACATACCGAGAGTCCGAAAATTTTCTGATAACTTCCGAAGTAATCACGAAAAATTCAGAAANGCAGAGATGTTTATCGAAGCATAAAAAATAAAAGATAACAAACAGTTGGAGTGCTTGCGCAAAATAAAAGTTACCAAAGAAATCCCGGTAAGTTCTGAAACATACCGAGAGTCCGAAAATTTTCTGATAACTTCCGAAGTAATCACGAAAAATTCAGAAATGAATCGAAAAAAGCCTGAGAGCCTGATCTGCACTTTTTCGCAACAAAAAAGTGTTTATAAATCATATTCTAGTGATGCGAAAATTTTTTCCTCTGTTTTTGATATCAAAATCTTAAAAGATACTAATATCCATAACAATATAATGACNAGAATCGAAAAAAGCCTGAGAGCTGTTTATAAATCATATTCTAGTGATGCGAAAATTTTTTCCTCTGAATTTGATATCAAAATCTTAAAAGATACTAATATCCATAACAATATAATGACTCAAAGAGTATAGTATATTTAACAACAAAAACCATGTAAATCAAAATTTCAAAACACCAATGAGAAAATTTCAAACCTTCGAGAAAATTAAGGAAAATTTATCCAAATTTGAAATTTTTTAATTATATTATAAAAAATAATAATTCGAGCATGCATTAAATTTCTGTATATTAAAGTGCAAATTTGGTGTTGCTAAGTTGAAAATTTTTTGCTGACGGTCTTGAGCATTTTCTTCCGTACAAAAAGAAAAATGGTTATACGGAAGAAAGTGTTCTACGACGTCTGCAAAAAAAAATTGTAAATCAAAGGATTTTTTTAGAAACATGAAATTAAAATTGAGTGGGCATAATCGAATTTTTTTGTAAAAAATATGATTAAAAAGTTTTGAAACTTTTATTAAAATTTTGTAAATTTTCATTCTGCAAAGTTTGAAATATTGATTTACATGGTTTTTGTTATAGACTAAGCTATATTTTTGTAAAATTTACAAAACAAATTTACCATGAAAAACATTTTTATAATCGAAAAAAGCCAAGACAAAATCTTCTGTGGGTCACCGTACATATAGAGATACCTAAAGGGACTTTTCCACTTTTATTTTCTTTCTTCATAAAAGTAAAGGCATACCAATAATAAATAAAAAATATAATATACTACATACCTACATGTACATAATTATTTATAAATACATACATACATACATTCCGATTTAAAAAAAAAATCCTTACACATACATACATACATACAAATAACTTTACATACTTGCAAACCGGTTGATTTCCACAAAAATGCATNTAAAATTTTAAACTTTTTAATCAAATTATAAAAAATAATAATTCGAGTATGCATTAAATTTCTGTATAATAAAGTGCAAATTTGAGGTTACTAAGTTGAATATTGTTTGCTGACGATCTTGAGCATTTTCTTTCATACAAAAAAATCGTTATATGGAAGAAAATGTTCTACATCGTCTGCAAAAAAAAACTCAACAGATTTTTTGAGAAACTTAATACTAGAATTTTTTTGGGAAAAATATGATTAAAATGTTCTGAAAACTTTATTAAAATTTTTTAAATTTTCATTCTCCAAAGCTAGAAATTTTGATTTACAAAAGACAAGACAAAAACTTCTGTGTGTGTCACCGTACATATAGAGATACTTAAAAGGGATACCAATAATAAATAAAAAATATAATATACTACATACCTACATGTACATAATTATTTATAAATACATACACACATACATTCCGATTTTAAAAAAATCCTTACACATACATACATACATACGCACAAATAACTTTACATACTTGCAAACCGGTTGATTTCCACAAAAATGCATCGCAAAACGACGCCAATCACTATTAAATTGCGTATGCGGTTCAAATATGCAATCGGGTATTTTACCCTCACGCACACAATCGTTGAAAGATAAATTGAAAAATTCGTACTTTTTTGTCGGCTTTGACGGATTTCTTAACAACATATTGTTGTAAATGAACGGATGCCGCAAATAATAGTAAGCACTTTTGACCTTTTCAATTGGATGGCGCACCAGATTAATGTATATGGGTTTCGGTAGATCCAAATCAGTGAAATTTATAAAATTTCTATGCATCGTAAAAGCATTCGGTATACCGTAGTCCAAAATTTCTTCAGCTAAATCTCGCTGCTCCTCAATCGTATCCAAAATTTGTCCCACATTGCGAACTTTTATATTATATGTGAATTTATGAATTCGCGATAAAGTTCGCAAGAGTTGGCTCATCGATTGGCTGCCCACTTTTTCCAAACGATTAAAGAAAATTATATCGATTTCCGCTTTGGCGGTATTGTTAAGCATCCATGGCGAGAGTGTGTACAGCTTACATACATATGTAGGTAGTTTGAATAAAAATTATTATATTTTTTTCCATTCGATGGTGTTGTAAATTTATTGAATTGAGGATGCATTGTTAGGAGGAGGTATGCATNTTCACTCGTATCCAAAATTTGTCCCACATTGCGCACTTTTATATTATATGTGAATTTATGAATTCGTGATAAAGTTCGCAAGAGTTGGCTCATCGATTGGCTGCCAACTTTTTCCAAACGATTAAAGAAAATTATATCGATTTCCGCTTTGGCGGTATTGTTAAGCATCCATGGCGAGAGTGTGTAGAGCTTACATACATAGGTAGGTAGTTTGAATAAAAATTATTATAATTTTTTCCATTCGATGATGTTGTAAATTTATTGAATTGAGGATGCATTGTTAGGAGGAGGTATGCATGTATATGTATGTATGTATGTATATACTAAAACAGATTCAGAATAAACTACGAAAGTTTCCATTATCCTCCGCATGCGAATTAGCTGAAAGAATCTCTACATAAATTTTGAAAATATTTCACCAGTTTCGTTGATGGCCATAAAGAAATTTTAGTAATGTTATCTACCTATGTATCTATGTGTGTATGTAAATATATTGCAAAAAAAAAAGTAGGCTTATTTGAAAAAAGGAGACTTGCAAATTTGATTAAAAAAGATACGAACGATTTCAAGACAAATTTAAATATTAAAGGGAATAAGTTCATTACTCAATCTTCGGTGAACTGATTTGTAAGCACGGTGCACAATTATTCATACTGACATATGGATGGTAATTCGCCAAAACTTCTTATCCAAACACTCTCAAGCAACTCTAGCTAACAAAAGAACTCTGGTTTAATGGATAACACAAAACTAATTTAAATACATATCTTTTTTATCTGAAGATTAAAGATTAATTTTAAGAGAAACTATGATTGTCAAAATACGTCCTTAGCAAAAGTTTAGTAATTTTTTTTTAATTTACTAACATTAGGGTTGTGCGTTAAGGTGAAGAGAACTGAGATCTAGTGGGGATTACTTGAGTTCCTACTTTAAGAGCCGACTGTACATACATATATCGTATGTGGAATTTTTGCGAAATTGACTTTTTGATGCAGATATGTTCTACAGCTCACAACGCATCACCAGGTAAAATATTGTACCTAAAAACTCTATAGTTGCGCCAAAAATTTACTGTATATTTGATCATATGTTACAATGCATTTTTTTTTTTTATAGCGAAATTATCGTATGCGCCATACACAAGTTTTTTGTACGTGGTAAAAAAATTTAATTAAAAAAATTCTAAAAGTTTTGGAAATTAGAAAAAAGCTTTCCTGTAAAATTCAGTTCCTGACATACACAACCATTAAATTAAATTCATTCTAAAAGTTTTGAAAATTTTAAAAAAGCTTTCCTGTAAAATTTGGTTCTTGACACACATAATAATTTCGCGCAAAATTCGAAATTGCGCTGCAAAAATACTTTATTTCGGTACGGTCTATTGTACATACATACATTTGTACGTAATATTAAAATATGTAGCTATTTTTATCCCGTTGCTAATTTCACTTGCTTTCATTACGAAATAATATTTTGCATAAGTTTTCAATTAGACGTGTAAGGGCCAGCCGTTGACCCAACTTCAGACTTTAACCGTAAATTTACAATAAAAACGATTTAACAAACTAGAGTTAACTCGCCCGGAATCACTAAAGTGAGTAGGAAGCAATAAGCCAGCAATAATATTTTGCCCGAAATTAACTTTTATTACCTCGTAAATATTGGCATATTGGTTTACTTTACAGTACAGTACTTTAAAAAAAGTAAAATGTAGTAATTAAAGGAGTAGCCACTGTTATTAGCAAGCAAAAGAAGCTTTTGAAATATTATACGTGGCATATGTGCACACATATTTATATTGAATACATTAGGATGCATCAACAAAAAAATAAAAAATTGCGTTATATCCACCGGCATTATAAAATGTTTTATATTTTAACACCCAATTTCATAAAAACATAAATGAGATTTTAACTGCTTTATAAATTGAAATTTTGAATGAAAGTGTCACTTTAAATCCATTTTATTTTTTATGAATAAGGCCATAAGACTTTTGTCAAAATATTTCGAAAAATATTAAGATTTACGTGAGGTCGATTTGAAAATACCTCTAATTTTTTTTAGATTCTGGTTCTGCTAATAAATTCTTTTAAACATTTTTATACAGACCTTTGAAGTTTAAACTCTTCTATCAATTAAGATGATTTTTTAGAAAAAAAATAATAATTTTATTCGTAAAAATTTGATTTTTGGAGGCATTTCCAAATCAATCTCACTTGAGTCTTAATATTTTTTCTGAAATATTTTGTCAAAGATCTTAAAATATTATAAATTTTATATTTCCGAAGGAAAAACGGCACCACTTTTTATTTTTATGGAGCGTGATGCACCCTAACGTAAATACATATGTACATCTATAGTAATAAAATTTTAGATAGTAAAACTAATAGGCTTTTTTAGTGGCGGTTTAAAAAATGTGTGCAAAACTGAATTTTGAAAAATTCTTGGAGAATTATAATTTTGGTATATTAAAAACTTTGAGTGCGCAATAATCTTTTTGAATTCATTAATTTTGAATATGTTTAACGTGCTTTTAATAGTTTAAGCAAGTTTGTATTAAAATACCGATGAGACATTGCTGGGCCGCTAATAACCGTCCACTTGTTTTCCAAATGAGTAATTTATAGTTTACGTATTCTAAATTTATTTATTTACTTTTGTTATGATAATAAAAACTTTATCGAATAAGTAAGAAATTTTCTTTTCGATATTATTGCAAAAACTTTGCACTCTTTAAATAACTGAGTCAATCCTTATAAAATTTTGACAACATTTTCTTAGTTTAATAAGCTCAAAACTTCTAAAGGTATTCAAGAAAAAGTAATAAATTACTTTTTGGTGTTCTTAACCTTTATGTATGTATGCAAATAAAAAATTTCTGCAACTCCTTGAAAACTTGCAACCTCCCTACAGCTTTCGTACTTCTACTAGTCACATATTTCAAGCAAAATCTCAAGCTGACTCGCAAGAAAAAAACATAAAAATTTTTTGATATTTACAAACTTATGGTATTTTTTATTTCGTTCAATGGTTATGGATTACAAAAATCATATACACATAATTAAGTATACTTAAGAATAATTACTGCACCACTATTGTTACTCAAATTCCTCGCATATTCTGCAATGCAAAATATTGTTTATATAAACGTTGTTTACAAAAATTATAAAATTCATATTCCGCAGTAAAGTTCTTTCTAAGCATTTCCTTTATATGCGAACTTATAGTTGGTTTCCAGGGATTTGCATTATTTTGCGTTGCTGCCAAACCATTTTCTCCATCTATTAAAAAACATTAGAAAATCGACATTTGCGCAGCTTTTTTTATATTATAATGCTAAGTTCACATGGTCAGCTAGATTGGCGCAATTTAGTAGGCATTAAATTTAACCAATAACAAACAATTTATTAGTTGTATTAACAATCTATAGCTGAAACTAATTTTATTTTTTAGAGCTCATTTTTTATTGCTCAATTTAGCTGGATATCGGAACACAGTATATTATTAGATACGAAACCACCTTATTCATAAATAGTGAAAATCTATATTTTCTATAATTGGAACTGTTTTCGCAGTGGAGACTTAACCAAAGCGCGGCAATTAACTATCGATTTTCTGCACAATAAATGCCAAACCAAGTTAACTCACATTTTGAAACAGTCTAAAAGCTCAAACAGACGGTAGAGTTGATCCGGATTAACTCGGACTTAATCCGAGCAAAAGTGTTACATATTTTATTATCAATGTCTAAAACATAAAAAGGCAAAAGTTTAAAATTTAATATTTGGGCATGAAGGAATCCGAAATTCACCAAATTCCGTAAATTAAAGATAAAATCAGGCAAACGGATTTCAGAAAGCCTCGAAAAAGACACAAAATTATAAAATATTCCATTTTAGAACCTAAAAGTCCTCAGAAACTTAAAGATCATGAAAGTTTCCTAATAGTTCTTAAAAACTACGATAAATTCTAAAAAAAAAAAAATCGGAAGCATTCCGAATACTAAATAAACCCAAGATAAGTACTAAAAATTTTTAAACGGTTCCGAAAGAAATTTGGAGGAGATTTAAAAAAGTCTCTAAAAACACGAAACAAAGCCTAAAAAATAGAAAGCAAACATTTCGCAAACTTTGTCCTTTTGCTAAAGAGGAGGTCTAAGAGTTATGCTGTTGGCATTTACCAATAAGCTTTTTAAAAAATAAATGTTATTTAAAAAATACACGTATTTTTCTATTTAAAACAATAAAAACTATAACATAAAAAAAACTAAACTAAAATAAGGATAAATAAATAAAATGAAAATAAAGAAAAAATACTTTTAAAAATTAAATGAAAAAAAAATTTTTTTTTTAACAAGAACTAAAAATTAAATTAGGAAAAGCTATAAATTAAATCAATCAACAATAGCACATTTAAGAAATTATNTTAACAAGAACTAAAAATTAAATTGGGAAAAGCTATAAATTAAATCAATCAACAATAGCACATTTAAGAAATTATACAAAAAATAACAAATTCAAAAGAAAAATTAATTAGAAAAATAAAAACAAATTAAATTTAAAGAGGAAAAAAATAAAAAAATAAGATTATAAAGTGTAAATTAAATTTTAAAATATATTTTTCTTTTTTAAACAATAAAATCTAAAAATTAAAAGTAAATTTAACTAAAAGAAGATAAAAATTAAAAAAGTCCCTAAAAATTGGATTAAATTAAAAAAATATTACTCTTTTCAAAAGAATCACATCTTAAAATTACATCAAATTAGATGAAGCAAGAAAAAATTAAGTTAAAAAAGAAAAAAACACGTAAAATAAGTTTCTGAAAATTAAATAACATTAAAAGAGAGAAAATTTGAATGAAAAAAAAATCCGCTGCCCGAGGATTCGGACCCGGATCTCTCGAAAGGTGCTTTGTCCATTTGGCCATTACGACCGAGCCAAATGATATAGAGTGGTGAATGAGAGATCTTTTTTTGTGAGACTTTTGTGCTAGAATAACAAAAATCTTTCGAACTACAAATCTAGCAAATCCGTCTTTCATTTTTCTTACGAAATATTAAATTTGTTTCAATGAGAGGAGATTCTAATGCTATATCCGAAAAAGAGGTGCGAAAATTTGTTCTACTACTTTTTTAGATTTCAAAATTTAACGTTATTTTTAATTTATAAGTTATCTTAAACTAAAATTAAATTATATATATTCTGAGAAACCGAACTTCGCATCGATATTTGCCTTTGTGTGAAAAAGCAAAAGCTCTGAGCTATAGCAAAGCTTGCGTTAAAAGTTATCTGTTATTCGAATTGACTATTTACATAATTTTTTTAAATAAAATATCAAATGTGTTTGAATAAAACTTCGCACAATTAATTTGAATTTTCCCATTTGTAAATAAGGCGGTTAATAGATAGTAAAAATGATTGAAAGAATTACCAAAATACAACTCTGTTGCGCGACGGAAAAATTTCGGTATATAATGCTCGAGTACTTCTAGTGTAACATTCAAATCCTCCCAAGAGCCCACCACAGCATATTCGTTCTCAACATGCTTCTTAGCCAATTGCAAAGCGCTTTGTGAATTGAAAGGTCTGCAATGATAATTGATATATTCACAATGCTACGTCGTAAATAATTCAGCAAGACATACTCGCAACTTGGATCGTGACCACAAAAGAATAACGTCTGCCTTTTGTGATCTTCACTAGAATTGCCAAAGCTTGAATCTGTCTCATAACGGCATTCGATATCGCGATGCAAAACACACTCCTCAAAACTCTTCTTATACCATTGTGGCTTGCGAAATTTCTTAGTCAACTTATACATTTGCACAGCAGTCCAGGGCGCACGTTTATAATAGAACCAACTTATAACCCGTTCAATTGGATCACGTATCATATTTATATAAATCGGTTGTGGCAAATTGAATGCCCTAAAATCAATATAATTTACATGCATAGAATATGCAAATGGCTCGCCATAATCATCGTCCAACTCTTTCGCTAGCTCCTCCTGCTCCTCCGGCGTAAGACGTTGCCGCACTGGTTCCGAAAAGTATGCACGATTCGTCTCAAAGCCATTTAAAACACTTAAACGTTGAATAAGTTCAATCATATGTTCGCTGCCCACTTTCGGTACCCGATTGAACAAAAGTAAATCGCTTTCAGCAAACTGGGTGTTATTCAAATTCTTGGGCATAAGCAAGTGAAGCTGGTTGGAAAATAAAGTTATCGGCATGGGCTTTTTATCTGATTTGATGAAAAACAAAGTTATTGCTTGTGGATGTAAAGTCGAAACCGAGCGGCAGAAAGCATCTACATACGTGCGAGCGGAAGGAGCAGGAGGAGGAGGAGGAGGAGGAGCAAGCGGAGGAGAGTTCCAGAAAAGTAATAGAAAATACTACACATGTTTTTTTTTAATTTATAATTTATTTAATACTTGTACTTATAAGTGGGTATACAAAAATTTAATACAAATCAAATTTAATACAAATTATATTAAAAATAGGGTGACTCAAGGTTAATGCAGATCTCTGACAGCAATTATTTTTGTGATAAGTTAATGTTTTTATTTCCATTTTATGCAGACAATTGGTACTAGAGGCGTTGGCAAACTTAGTCATGGACCAATACTCAGTTGAACAATGCATAAAAGCGATCCAAAGTGATAAAGCACATTTTCACCTAAACTGCAAGAAAAAACTAAGCACCCAAAACTAGTCACTGTTTGGTTTTGTTTTTAGGCTGACTCCGCCTCCGACCGTACTTCTGCGAAAATAGTACCGGTAGCGCTGTTACGGTGAACGAACAAACGAAACGAACTTAGCATGGCCTAAATTATATGACATGGACTTGGACAATATAACATGGCTTAAACAGGAAGGGTGCCAGTTGCCACACAGCGCATGAAACAATCGCCCTATTACGAACATCTGCGGTCTTATTGAATCACCTTATAGTACATACATATTTAATAATCCTCATTATATATTTCATCATTATTATTATAATGCGGCAATAGAACATAGTCATCATTGTCGATTTTGTTGAATTTACTTATCGCGCTGTATTGTAGATATAAACGTTGCTTGCAAAATTCATAGAATTCAATTTCGTTGGTAAAATTTTTGCTAAGGATGTCACGCGTTTCCTGGCTCACTGGTCGCTTTGCCGGATTCTTATTCACAGACGATAAGCGTTCTTTACCCACTGTAATGTTTTGAAAAAAAAATTTTATGTTTGTTAGGTGCCAAATTCATTTTTGTTTCTTACTGTGGTACACGACTTTTGCATGTTTGAAATATTTCGGTATATAGTGTTCAAGCACTGTTAGCGTTATGTTTGTATCTTCCCACGTTCCAACAACGGCATATTCTTGTTCGACCGTTCGTTTGGCTTTTTGCATTGCCGTAACGGAATTGAAGGGCCTTTTTTTCGAAAGCGAATAGAAGAACAATGATCAATTTAAAATTAACGTTTTCCGCATAAACTTCATACAATTAATACATACATACATACATATGTAGGTGTGTAGGTAAGCGCTAGCACAAATACATATGCACTATGCGTGTGTGTACATTAGAGTGGGTCGCAAAAAAATATATAAAGTGCATAGTGGTAGTGACAAATTGGTTTCACTACCACTATATGGTTAGTGGTTATACATTTTTTAACAAATCTGTTGTAAAGAAATGGTTACTAAATATCACAGATCGCAAAATTTTCCTAAATTTGTAAACTGGTGTAATTAGTCAGTGATAGTGAAATTTTAGAAAGATCTTGCAATTGCATATGTACGATTTTTACCGACTGCTCGCTGAGCTTACATGAGGCCACACCTATCTGGTGGTACTGTTTCAATAGTGCACTTCCTTGCCAAGCCATCAACCACGCAGTTTTTCGCAATGTCACTGTGACCCGACACCCAAATTAGCCTGTTTAAAAAATACTTGATTAGATTAACTTTATAGAAAATCGTACTACCTTTGTCGTACCCCTAACAATAACCATTGCAGCAACACGTCAATAGTCAAACATTATTTTACAAGCAAAACTTTATGATTTTAAATGCAGTTAGTATTTCTGGACGCTTCTATTGTAGGCCTTCGAATGCTGGTGCAAGCTCAGAGATTGTTTTTTTTTTTTTTTAATGTTGTCCGACCCCTACTAATGTACACACTAACTCTTTTTGCTATGCAAATGAATGTGCTGCCACCTACATACATACGTACAAACGTAGGTATGCTATGTATTTGAATACAAAAGAAAAAATGCCAAACTATGCTACTTACATACACAATTTTTTATTTTGTCCGCAAAAGAATAGTGTTTGCCGGCGATGATCACCGGATTCATTTGTTGCCTCATCCTGATTGAATGTACATAATATACTTTTGGTTTTTATGCATGTATCTATATCCATATTCATGAATTCGTCCGAAGGTCGTGGTGGTGCCATATCACCCAACTTAGCCTTCATATCTATGTAATACCATTCGGCACGAATATAATAATGCCAACTAATGACACGATCGATAGGATGTCGAACCAAATTAATATAAATCGGTCTGGGTAAGTGAAAGCGCGTAAAATTCAAATAGGCCAAATGTTGAGAGTAGGCATGTGGTTTTTGCTTTCCTAAAATCTCGACTGCCAATTCACGCTGGAGATGTGGTGCCAACAGCACAGTTTCGTAACGCTTGCCAGCATCGCGTGATGCTTTATAGCCGTGTAGTCGGCCCAAATGTGACATAAGTTCCATTAAAGATTGACTACCCACTTTGGCTACCCGATTAAAGAATATCATATCTATGTCAGCCTTCTTTGTATTATTCAATTCGTCAGCGCTAATGCCCCACTCTGGAGTATCTTCATGACTTTCATCATTTTCATATGCATCGTCGAGCGATTCTTCATATTCGTCATTATTGCGAGCATTCTCTCCATTTTGCTGACGACGATGCTGATGATGACGTTGTCGATGATGATGCGGAGGACTATGCCTCTGCTCGCGTTGCTCTTCAATATTCTCATTGTTGCTTTGTGCGTGAACTTCATTATGACGAATACGTGGTCTACGCTGTTAGTGGAGAGTGATTGAATGGCGAGTATGAAGTTTTGCATTGATTTCGAGGATTTTAATTAATTTTTGTTTCTTTGCTTATAATGAGAGCGATTTGAACCATAACCGTTTACAGGTTTACCACCATTATACATATCTACGTACACATATATGAACACAGAAAGATGTAAGGACTATGGGTAAACAAAATGATAGCGCACTACATTGAAAGATTTTACTTGCAAACATTTTAGTAGAAAAATTTGCAAGGAAAATCATTGAGCCGTATGAATAAAATTTAAAGCAATTGCTTTTTCTTAAAATTTCACCCCTTTTTAATCAAAGTTATTTCAATAATAAATCCAGTAGAAGGTTTGAAATTTTTATAAAAAGCAATAGCTTAGTTTTTATTCATACGACCCATTGCATGAAATATTTTAAAAGCCAAAGAGTTACACACAAAAGTGAAATTGTAAAATGTAAGCATTTAAGATAATGCGGCATTATAAAAAAGAGAGCCTATGGTTGCTTTCATGAACCGGCATGAATTACCGGCCTTATAGCATATTTCCACCAAAAGTTTAACTGCTGTTAAGAGCCATAACTGTTCGGAAACTCTAAAAAATATAAATTTTTTCTTGGTAAAAATAACTAAATTCTACAAAATTTTATTCGCTTGAATTATTTCCTTACCAATGAATATCTTTCATTTGCTGCAAGACAGACACAATACCGGATTCACACTGGGCATTAAATGACACAGCTTTTCAACCAAAAAGTGAAAATTGATTTTTTGACACCTAAGCCCCCTTTCCGTAGACCAGGTCACATATATAAAACTTTAACACAAGCTAAATTTGAAGTCATCTATTTATTTTTAAAACTATATAATTATAAAATATTGTCTCTTTAAGTGAGTAATTAGTTTTTTGCTGTGTGGTCTTGCAACAATTTTGCGATATGCACAAATATACAAACATATGATATTTTATAATAAATACATACGATAATTACATAATATTTAATGTCTCGGTAATTTAATAGCAATATATTGCTTATAAAGACGTTGTTTACAAAAATTATAAAATTCAATTTCATTAGTTAGATTTTTATGTAATATTTCACGAACTTGCTGTGACACACCTGGTTTGATAGAATTTCTATTAACTTGATGCAGACGATTTTCAGGCTCTGAAAATTCAAATAAAATAAAAATAATCGCGTAAAAAAGCCGTTAATTAACGAAAAGGTCACACTGTGCAACAAAATGAAACAGATCAAAAAGGACACGAATACGATATGCAATTAGGAAAGTCCCAATTTTTTTTACAGTACATTAAAGTTTTCCTAATTTAGTTCCAAATTGATCTAAATTTTTTTAAAAATCGCGCATAAAACTGTATTAAAAAAATAAAAGTTAGTAACTGATTTATATTGATGACTTTTAAAAGTAAAAGTCACTGACTGAGTTTTATTTATGACTCTTATAAATAAAAGTCTACCATAACTGTAATCTAAGGCATATAATTTTAAAATCAAAACTAACTGTTATTTGCATATTATTTAGATACAAATCAAAAATAATTGTTATTTTGGATTTGTAAAGTAAAAGGAGCAATTAAATAAAAGTCAAAAAATTATTGTTAAAGAGCGATTTTTTTAATAAAAGTTGTAGCTGTTACGGTCTCTGGAAAAAACGCCAGGTGGTTCAATGTTCTAGAGCTTTTCATCCATCGTGTTCGCCATACCGCACTCGTGTTTTTTTTTTTTGCTTGACTGTCGCACAGTGTTATCATTGCAATACAGAATAAAAGTTTTATAGAAAAAACATTTTTATTTGCATATGCAAAGGTATATGCATACATACATACATACATACATGTATTTAAGACAATACAACGACGACAATCATTTTTAATAACTATTTTTTTTTTCAATATTTGGAGAAAAGCTAATTAGTATAAGTTTATGACTCCTATTGCTGCTACGGTGAGCATTCGTATCGATTTTAGCGGTACAGTACCGATTTTGAGAACATTGTCCCGCTGAATATTTTTTTTAGGGCGGAACGTATGAGTGTCCCGATTTTTCATATTTGTACCGATTATGACCCGAATTTCTTAATTAATTTAAAAATTGTACTCTGACCTAAAAACTATTTTGGTACAAAGGGTGCAGCACTTTCATTATCACAAAGAACGTCCTTATTTTCTATGATCTATGGATATAGTTTATTCTGTCAAAACGGAGCCTCTCGCTATATTGCAGACATCTTGTCTTGTCAAAATTATTTTATAATGATATGTTAAGTTTTTTTAATAAAACAATTCCAACTTGAATTTAGTAAAATTAAAAAAAAAAAAATACTAATTCCCTAAAAAATGCATGGATATGAAAAATATAAGCTGTAGATACAGTGGCAAAAATATATGTAAATAGGGAAGAGATATTTGAGCAATCTATGGCTATTCCCCTTTCGATTACTTAATGCTTATTATTTTTTATGAAAGTATACATAGCTAATTATATAACAAAAAAAACATCTAAGTCACACATTGTACAAAAATTCACAAAATTCAGAAAAAGTTTCATCAACATTTTTTAGCTTTTAAATTAGATTTCTTAGAAATATTCTGAGTATGCGATTTTGTAGCCCATTAAATTTTAGTAGTGAAGTGCAAATTTTAAGTTGCTAGGACTTATCGTTGATTTTCGGTCATTTTTTTGTCTGATTTTCGGTCATTTGTTTGTCTTGAAGAAAATGCGCGAACAAAAAACAGCCTTTAGCTCTTTTGCCAAAAAAAATCAAGCTACTATCGAAGAAACTCGATGGATACATAAAAAAAAAAAAGTTGTGAATGGTTAGATGAAAATGAGTTACGATTTTTCGTATGTAATATGACCAGGAAAGAATGTTACTCATACGCCGTGTACGACGATGTTTTTTTTCAAATTTTCCCCTGTTAAAGGGCTATCTGCAGTGCCCAGGAAAAATCACAAAAAATATGTTTCAAAGCCTTTTGCTTTTGCTGTAAATTTTCTTGAAGCAATAAATATACGAGCATAATTTTCTTGAGAGCTGTAAACTAATTTAATCAATTTTAATAGATTTCCTTTCCATTTCTTGTGTGTCGTTTTAAGTATATTAATTTTTCGATTCTTTTTTTTGATAGCTGTATAGAGCCCTTAAATTTTAAATTATTTTCATTCCTAATGCAAACTTAAAATGAAAATATCTAATCTCGAAAAACCGTATATAGATCCGTGAAGTGCGAGCTATAATTACGTTGATGTGTGTCGGCGTTTTTGTGTCATTTTAGCTTTCCTATAGTGCTATTTGGCCTCTAAATTGTAAAATTTTATGTAGCTAAAATTGTTCACAAAAGTTTTAACTTAAAAAAAAAAAACCGTTTTGCGAGTCAAACCATTTTCACATTTGGTTTCCATGTATTTACTATGGGCGGATGATAAATTTTCGGGTAAATTTTTTTCGGACGAAACTCAGGATAAGGTGGAATAATAATTATTACTTTTAAGGGGAAAAAATTAAAAATCATAAAATAGTGATTCATTACTTATTTAAATTATTTTAGTCATAATGATTACTGTCCCTGATTAAATATGAAATAAACCAAATCTGTAGGTATGTATGCATGTATGACCTCCTGCTTAGTGTTCATTAAAACTAGAATGGCAGTTCGATTAGGGTAAAATTTATGCTTCAAAGACATTGAAAACGGCGAGCCACGGGTCAAAGCTGCCAATTTTTTATCTGTAGCTCGAAAAATATAAATAAATACATAATTAAATCTAATGTAGCCACAACCAGTGTTGCCATTGAAAGTTTTCAGAAAGTCGCAGAAAAGGGGTCATTGATGAAAAAAGGGGTGCCATTTTATTTTTGCTTTTCTTTACTAGTAAAAAAATAAATCTGTTAAATTTAAAAATAAAATAGTGGGACAAGCTTTTCACAAAACAGGATTGCAAACATACACATAAATCGAGAAGAGTTACATTTCCCTTAAAAGTTTTAAGTGATGCATTTTTTCGTACTTACAAGAGGAAACAATTTTTAATAGCATGGTTTTGTTAACATTTCCTAAAAAATCTCTGAAAAGGGACAAAAGTCGCACATAACTTTGGAAAAGAGTCAAAAAATCAAAATTTTCAAAAAAAAAGTCGGTTCAAAGGGTATTGGCGCTTAAAAAGGGTCAAATTGCCCCCTTTGTCGCACAACGGCAACACTGGCCACAAGAGTACGTGTTAAAACAATTTGACAGCTGGCGCCCGTAGCCCATCGTTTCCAATGCGTTTCAAGCATAAATCTTTAACACTGAGCGCGTTTCTTTATTCATTCCGGATCTAGAATAAAATAGTCGTAGTTTATCTGGAATAATGGGAATAAAGAAACAGAAAAGTATCAAGTTCTTAGGAATCAGCTTACTATGTCTCCATTGAGAGATTTATCCATTAAGATTTAATAAATCCAGTTGCTAAATCACAACCGTCTCCATTACCATTACGAGATATNTTATTACTAATGTTCCTCCCAAACTAACAAAAAAATATAAAAATCCCTAAAAATACGAAAATTCATGTTTTTATGATAGGCTAGATTTCAATGTCCTCAACTGTATATTGAAAACACAAATGTCATTTGACTTATGGCATTAGAATTTGTGGTTGCCACATCCAACAAATTGTACTTATTGATCAATATTATTGAAGATTTGACGAAGATTTAACTTAAATCTACTGCCTTTCGAGATTTAATTTTATATGATAAATCTCAAAAGATTTAACGTCAAATCTCGTCAGAGGGCTAAATCTTCATTAAATCTCACAATGGAGACATAGTAGTTGAACTCATGCAAACTTTTAGACAACACCACTCTATGTGACCGCCGAAATGTACAAATCGTGTGACCCCTGCTTAAGGTTAAATAAATGTTCAGACAAAATATTATCAAATGTCGTTTATTACTGTAATAAGTCTCTGTTGCTCCGGCAAAGAACCT